ATTTGAGGGGGGGGGGGGGTTATGTTTTGGTCTTGCTTATTTTAGTCTGTACACAACTGGTCTCCTAGAAGTTTGGGTGGTGCATGCAGCAGTAAAAGGGAGAAGGAAGGACTATTTGGTTGACTAGTCTCAAGTACTAATATTGAATTATTCCATAGCGCAGTGGTTCTCAGATCCCTCTGTGGAGTACTAATAGTAGCTGCACTGTGTTCCATTGGTAGATAGCATGAAATAATTTGAGATCCAAGTTGTGCGGGATGAACTTGTTGAAGAGAGGATCTGGGAAAGAATCTTCTTGCCATGAAGGAAAAACATTTTCAAAGAACCACTGTTACAAGGCTTTTTTTTTATCACTGTCTTGAAAGATGCACTCTCTTGGGCTTTGCTTTTCCTAATATTACATTCACTAGCATAACAAGGGTGGGGCAAGAGGGGCACTAGTCTCAATTTAGTGGGCACATCCTACAGAGCTCTGGGTGGTGCATGCAGCAGTAATGCACCTCTCTCCAGTACTTGACATTCTTCTCTTCCCCACCCTCCTGCTGTCTGGTGCTCACCAGCATCCCTGCCCAAGGCACTAAAATGCCTCTTCTCACACAGCTGTGTGTTCAAAGACACTTGGCCTTTTGTTTGTTTAATTCTGGTGCTCCTAATTAGAACAGTGTTGTCACCAAAATAAAGACTTCTCTCTTGGTCATATGAGTATTTAAAGGACATAATCTCATTCTCTTCCCTTTTCACTTTAGCCATCATTTGGCCAAACTGTACATATTAAGTTCAAATAACCTGTCCTCATAAGTCATTTCCTTTAGCCTACGAACTGTGGCCTAGAATATATGGCAGCTCAATCAGCTGCTCTGGAGCTGCTAGAAAACTAGACAGGTACAACAGAGCTAAATTAAAGTTTTTGTATTGGGCTTTACTCAACTCTGATTTTTATTAAACCTTAAAGTTTGTGATTGCCTTTCTTTGTGCATTATCTGCAACTCACAGTGACACTGACTTTTTGTTTTGACAGTTGCAGCTCTTTCTCAATAGACTTGCACAGAACTCATTAGGCCACTGTGATGTTTCTTGTCTATGTAGAAGGAAGAAGAACTGCTTTGTGCAATTAAGTTTTCTTTCTGAATTCGCTGGTGCTGATGATAGTCATTCTGTTTGAAACTTCCTTTCCCCTCTGTGTACAATTTGCAAACCATAATCTTGATACTCTTAAATTTTCAGGAATTAAAGTGAGAAATTATAGAAACAAAAACCAGTTCCTAAATTTCTTTGTAAAGTAGATCAAGAAGTTTAAGTGACATCATATCTTGACTATACCAGGGTCCAGGGATGAAATGTGCCAATTAAGAAATATTCATATGATTTTATTTTAGTGTCATTGAAATGCTGGGCAAACAAAGCCCGAGTAGGACAGTCCCTACACACTTCCTACATAAAATTTCTTCTCTTCTTTTTTTTTTTAAAATCCTGCCCCACCTGTGTTATGTGTGAGGCTATCTGCTGAGATTATCAGTGTGTGCTCATGACACCGTCGTCCCATACACACTAGAAACTCAGAAGCACACAGTTTTAAAACTGATGAGAAGTGTTACCAGCTGTCTTAGAGAAGACTTTAGTAGAAAAGTTTGATTTTTTTTTTTTTTTTTTTCTTTCCCACGAATCCCCCTGTGAACTATTTCAGAAATGGAGGTAGAGGACAACAGCAGAAACACATTCACTTACATAGTTTTAAAAGCTGCAGCCTAAGGAAGCAGAATTGGCCTGGGAAAACATAGTGAGGGGAGAGAAGAGAGGAGCACTCCCACGTTAACATTTTAAACTCCTGTTCCCTCTGCTACTTCTGAAGAGGGTTTGAACAGGGTTCTGTTGAGTTGAGCCTGTTACAAAGTTACTTTTAACAAGGCTCTGCCTTAGGTCTCCAGGCCTGGGAAATGGTGGCAGAGGTGTTTGTTACTTAGTTTAATTTGTCAGATAGGATTTTTTCCCCCCTCATGCTTCAGTGCTGATGTGATGCAAGTGTGTGTGTGTGTGTGTGTGTGTGTGTGTATGTGTTTGTGCGGGGTTAGGGGTTGAAATAAAACTGAAGGTAGCATATAAAGCCTCTTTGCTTTTTATTTTAAGATGTTTCTCTTGCTTGCTGCAATCCAGTCATAATTTATTGCTGGCCCATCTGATCCTCTGTTTGATGTTTGTAAACATTGGTTGCTAACCTTGCTGTCCAAGTTTATGTCCCCCTGATCTGGTGCCATGTTCTCCATGTTTGGTGCTGCCTGTCAACCAGGCAGCCGTGTTGCCATTTTAGTGATGCAGTGTCACATTGAGGAGAAACTGATCAGAGAACCTCAGGGCCCTCTGCCTTGGGGATTAAATTACTGCTTTAATTTACAGTTCTGATGAGAGGCCTCATTCCAATATCTGTCTTATACTTTAAATGTTGGAATCGCTCTTTAAAAGTCGCACGGACATGTTGTGCTGGTTTTAGAAGAGCAGGCTTTACATAAACCCACTTTAACCTAACCTCCCCCGGGTTACTGTAATTAATTGGGGGTTAACTGAGTGTTTAAATTTATTTGTAGTGGTGTTATTAACAGGACCCCGTGAGCTGGTGCTTCAGCAAGAAGCCACATTGGTTTATGTTTGAATCTGAAGCGTCTTTGCCTTTTTGTGTTCTGTGGGTAATGATCCTCCTCTCCCACTTCCTTTGGTTATGGGGTACATTTTTTTTAAAATTTCAAAATGAGGTTTGCATTTGATTGTTAAGCCAAACTTAAAATGCCACAATGCCTCTTGAATAATAAATGAAAACATTTCTATTTTTACAGAACTCATGAACTTTTAGGATTAATGTCAAACTGGATATAATCCTAAACTGTTCCTCCATTTTACCCAAACCAAACCTGAAGTGTCATTAGTTTTGACTGTTTACAAGCTGCAGAGTAGCCTGCTCTCACATTCTTCCACCCCTATTCCCTTTACTCTCCCTGCAAGCACAGATATTAGCATCAAGTAATTAACAGACCTTTCCTGGTGGTTGACTTTCTTTGCCTGTCACCATCTTCTTCTCTCTGTGTCATGCCACATGCAGAACCGATTGCAGCAGAGTCTGTCACCAGTTACTGCTAAGTCTCAATGTGCTCACACTATTTGCTTGGCCATTCATTGTTGTCTTTTTTTTTTCTCCCTCAAAGTCAGTAGATGGGGGAGGAGGGAGGAAGAGAAAAGTCAGTGACTTGGGCCTGCTTCTGCTCTCTTTGTAGCAGATGGCAAAATTGTCACTGAATTCAGTGGAAGGAAACCTGGAGTCCTGATAACCTGAATGCTGAACAGCTGCATCACCTGCTAGAACTTGATGAGAAAGGAGCATGGGGTAGAAGTCTGGAGCTAATTAAGTCAACGGTAAAACTTTCAGGAGTCTACTCGGGGAACAGAGGGACCTCAAGACTGCACAAGGGAGGAGTTGTCTTTTATTAGTGAATAATCCACAGACAAAACAATTAGAGCTGCATAGATAATTGCTGCTCAAGTGTTGTTTTCCATGAAATTCCATGTGAATTTACAAAATTTTTCATTTGGCCCAGATATGCAGTTTTGGGGGACGGATTAAAATAACAGCCCAAAATTTCACCCAGCCATATAAACCATGTTGGCATCGTTATGATTTTTTTTCTTGCATCTTGTATTATCTACTTATTTTCATGGGCTTTCCCCCCTGACCCACCGTTTAAAGTTCCTGTTGATGAGGTCCTATGATTACATAAAAAATCCATCTTATTTTTAATGATTGTGGGGAAGATCTTTAAAGAAGATGAAACTGAGAAGGCATATGAAAGCATGTTTTAAAAATAATTGCAATTTTTTAAGTTGACTTAGGGGTGAGGTGGGGCTGGCTCATGAGTTTTGAAGTTTGGGGGGTCCGAAGGA